AGCAAACGCCTTGCCAGGAGCCCGCCCCTCCTTCCTGTCCTCTCCTCAGTCTCTCTCGTGGGGAATCTCGGTCACACAGCCTGGGGGAAAGTTCACAGTGAGCGCACTCTCAACAACCGCTCACAAGAACCCCAATCAGTGGTCACGGGAGGAATAGCTGGCTGTCCTATTCCCCAGGCCAGACCAAAACCCCGACCCCCACTGCTGACACCAATTCCATTCACACGTGACTCTCTAGCCTGGGTGCATGCCAAGGGGGACGGGACGCCAGGCTCAGAGTCAAATCCTGGCTCTGCATCCTCCCGGCCGTGTGACCCTGGCCAAGTCACTTAACTTCTTTGAACCTCCTCATCTGTGAAAACGGTATCAATAAAGGATTTCCACGAGGACTGAAGGAGAGCGAGCATGCGTGAAAAGCTCTGGTACACAGGAGCCTCACGACACACATCCTCATTCGGACCTTTATAGGAGGGAGCTGTGACTGTCTCCACTTTACAGATGGAGAGACTGAGGCTGAGGCCAATTCGCCCCAGGTCCGCGACACCCGGGCTTGGATCCAAGGCTGTGCCTCGTTCCCTACTCCCTCTCAGATCTGCAGCTTTAACCACGTGACGCCTCAGAGGACAGACACTCATCAGTGTCTCCAGCGCTGGGGGCAGCTGGCAGGCCTGAAAGCAGGGATGTTGGTGACAGTGACTCTGAGTCACCCTGTCTAACTCAGTCCTCGGGTCCAGGGAGACCCCCGCCAGCAGGGAGCTCCACGAACCTTGCCACAGGACCAAACAAAGGAAGCCCCAGCCTCCCCAAGCACCGGCCCCAACACGAGAGGCTGGAGTCCAGCTGAGCTGCCTCGGGGACATGATGAGTCAGGGCGCATCTGGCTGCCCACGCTGGGCCCTGAGCCAGGCCCCCATAGGTACGGGCACTTAGGAGCAAAGACACCCTCCGGCCACAGGATGAGCTGTCAGCGGGAGAGGCGCCCTGGAAAGACAGCAGGCAAGACTCAGGATACGGCCACGGCCCATGGTCACCCACACAAAATGGTGGCGGCAGCGTCATCCAGAAGCCTGTCTGGGAAACTTATGTGGAAGATGCTATAAATCACAGAGCAGCTCGCCCAAAGCTCCGCCCTAAAACGGCTTACGCATCCAGAAATTAGTGAATCGATCAATAAGTCCATGCACACCGATCACCTCCTGTGTGTCCCACACTGTCCTGGACTCTGGAGAGCAAACTGGCAAAAGACAGACAGGACGCAGCCCAGCACTGAATTACACACCGCATCAGGCTGTAGCCTAACTGCACTCGGGCATCCTCTGAACGTGTACTGAGTGCACTCTGTGCGCCAGATGCGCTGATTTAAGATGCGGTTCTAGGATCAGATATAAATTATAAGCAAGGTGACCAAATAAGCCTCAGAATGTTCCAGAAGGCTTAGGAGACTTTTAGAGGGAATGAAATATAAATGGGGTCTTGAAAGCACTCGAGTTTGTCTCTGAGGACAGGATTACGTCACTTGGAAATCTATGGGCATATGTGACCCAACGTCGGGCGGATCCCAATACAGGTGACAATACCACACAGACTCCCGTGTCCCCACCGCCTGAACTCACACCTGCTGCATTTATGATGTGTCCCTTCATCAGCATAGGTGCTTCCAGGAGGTGAGCAGCCTGTTGGCACAGGTGTGAGCTGGGCCAACACCTCCTCCCCTCCCGACAGGCAGAGGAGCCACTGTAGGAAGTCACACTGACCCTCACGACGTGAGACAGCAGAGCTGGAACTTAAACCGGTGCCTCCCCAGCGAGCAGCACTGAGAAGCCCGCCCTGCAGACAGAAGCCAGGCAGGGCAGGGAAGGAAAAAGCCTTCCGGCCTAAGGGCTTCTCAGATCTCTGAAGCCACCAATCGCCCTGGCACCCCTCTCCTTCCTCCTTGAGTGGGGCCCCATTTCTCAGCCCAGCATCCTGGTGCTGAGCCAGCAGCCGGAGAGGGGGGAGAGCGAACTCACCCTCGCCCACATCTTGGCCCCACCCTCTCTCTTTCCCCAGTGAGTCACTGTGGCCACAACAGCTCCAAACATGCTAAGGGTCACGCCTAAAAGCAGTCGACCAAATGCTTCACCAGCCAGACCCCAGTGCCAGAGGGGCTGGGGCTCCAGTGGACACAGGCAGTTGGCGTCTCTGACAGCTCCTTGGGAGGGAGCCCCAGGCCAGGAGTCCCAAGAAGCACAGCTGGCAAGGCCCAGGAGGGACTTGCTACATGCCTTGACTCAGGCTGCTGCTGAGGAGGGGAGGAGAAGCCATTCTGAGTAGAGAAGGGTCCGCAGCCCCTGAGAAAAGGAGGCATTCGCTGAACCCAAGGCTGCAGGTTGGCCCTAGTGTGGGACTTGCTGGCTTCCCACCAGGTGGGGCTGCCAACCACCCTGCCTGCTCTGGCTCAACGGCCTCCTGGCACAGCCATGAAGGACTCCCCTCCCCTCTCATCTGATCTGGGCTGCTCAGATGGACATGGGGGTGCTGATGGGGGATTCGAGGCCACGGCGGCAAGGGCCTGCTCTCTGCATTTGAGTCCCAGCCCTCGGTCTCTCCCACCCCTGGAGCCTGTACCAAGCCCAGCTGGTCCTTCCTTCTCCTCCCACACATGTCAGGGGAAGCCAGGCTGCCGGCGGGGGGTGGGGGTGGAGGGCTGAGGGCCCTACCCTGCTGCTACCCAAAGCAGGGTCTTTGGAGCTCTGGGGAATTCTGCACATTCGGCCAGGTGTCATGAGCCTTTGGAGACAGAAGAAAGCTTACAGCCGTGCCGTCCAACATGGTAGCCGCATTTCAAGAGCTCAACAGTCTCACACGTGGCTACCAAATTAGACAGCAAGACGCGGAACATTTCCACCACTGCAGACGGGTCTATGAGACCTGTCGTTTACATGTCGGGAAACTAAGGTCCAGAGGTGAGAACAGGGGAGTATCAGGGCCCTAGAATCCAGGCCTGCTAGCCGGCCGCCAGTGCTCCCCCCGACACTGGTTCACAGTATCGTTAGTGCAGGGACAAGCAGGGCTGGAGTGGAGGCCCTCTGGGGCAGAGCGGCCGCTCGGAGGGCAGAAACGGGAGACAGGGAGGCCACTCCAGCTGCAAGGCTGAGAGGACACATCTGAGGTCGCAGGGACAGTGTTGATTCAGACCAGAAGACGAGAGGAGAACAAGGCTGTCCTGTCCGTTTAACACGCATCGAGGATGTGCAGAGAAGCAGGCCTCTCCCGTGCCACCTCTGTAGACTGGGAGCGACACCTGGACAGATCCAGGAAGCAGACTCCTTGCCCTGGGCGGACGGTCTCCACCAGATGTGACTTCCAAAGAAGCATTTCCCTCCCACTCTGCCCCCCCCCGCCCCCGTTCCCAGGGAACAGAGCCCCTTCTTCTCAAAAGCCAGCAGGAAGACAACCAGGGAGGGGGCTCGGCCTGATGGCTGCAGTGGTCAAAGACAGGCTTGCAGCCAGCATCAGCGTCGAGATGACAGGAACCGATACACACATGTTCTCCAAGAGACAGGCTGCGGGCCTCAACGCCTCCACATCCCAAACCTGAAGACAAGCTGCACACCGGAGAAGCACAGGTTTGCACAAATGTCCAGCACCGGACAGACACAAGAAATGCCACTCCAAGGGCTGGAGAAACACTCCCACCCATCATGAGGACACTAACAATAACGAAACTTCCAGCCCGCACAGTGGCCTGCACACGAGCGAAGCGACCCAGCATATACGCAGGCCAGGGAGAAGCAGTCCCCATGCCGTGGAGAATGAAATGACTCACCACCAGAGCTAGAAACCGCCACCAGAGGGAAAGCCCCAGCGCTTACAAACCAGCACAAGGGGTTGGGATAGTCAAAGAAAAGACACACACCCAGAGGGGCGTTCTACGCTCATCACCACTCACCAGACATCAAAGAGGAAGAGAAAGCTCCACGTGGACAGAAAACCCCCAAACCCCAAGCCCTGGCTCTCCTCCCGTGTGCCAGGCACTGTGCTCTAAGTTCCACGCCCGGGGTCTTGTTCAGTTCCCAAAACAACCCTATGCGATTAAAAATTAAAATGCTTATTTCAGAGATGCAGACACAGGCCCCAGAGGTGAGATGACGTGCCCAGGTATGAGACAGGGTTGAAATGCAAGCCCGGGGTCCTGTGACACCCAGGCCAATGGTCTTTACCCAGGTAGGGGGACGAAGGCACAAATAAATATACACACAGGATGAGAAACCACAGAGAAAGATGCACAAGAGAGATACGCAGAGGAGAGAAACCTGTGCTGGAGGGAGGAAGAGTGAGAACGAGAGAGACACGCCCACAGGAAGATGGGCCTCATCCTGGTCCTCAGCCTGGGGACATCAGCCTGGGGACATCAAACCCAGATGGGCCTCAGCCTGGGGACATCAAACCCAGAACGGGCAGCGAGCGTCCCAGGCATCCCAGAGGCCTGGTTCTGAGGGGCCTTAGGTTCCGAGGCTCATGGAGTTTCTGTCCCCGGGGTTCGGAAGTCCGGAGCTGCCCAGAACCCAGCTTGCCGAGAGACTCTCTTCGGCCCCAGAAGGTAAAGGCCAAGAGAATCAACCCCTTGTCCAGAGCCAGGCGCTGGCAGGGCAAGGCGAACATTTTCACTCGCTAGAAAAATGGGAACGGCCGTAACAGGCAGGCCCTCGATCCCAAAGGAGCGAGGAGAAACCCAGAGGCGA